CAGTATAACTATGAGGGGAATGACATCAGCGACCTGCCAGTCAATCTGTCTGTGGTCTGGAACGGTCATTTTGTCATCGACAATCCTCAGAACATACAAGGTGAGAGTCTTTTGAACTTGCACATCCATCTTCATGTATAGTCTTGTCAAAAATCAATCCCTGTTGCTTAAGGCTGGGACAAGGGGTGGGTCGGAGGAGCAGCCCAGGACGCAGCAGGTAAGGGGCAGGGGGGGCACCTCCTAATTGCATGCAAGTTCCTAATCAGTGGCTGGCAACCAGCAGGCCATGGCTTCATGACTGCTCTGCTGTCACACTGTGCTCCAACATGCTCACTCTCCACCCCATCATGTAAAAAACACGCCATGCATGCGCAACTACCTTCTGTTTGCAAGAAAGCAGGCAATTGGCTGTGCATGTGTAGTGCACACTCCGTGCCAATCATGAGCAACCGGAACAACAGGCACAGGGTGGTACACCCATTCTATGACATGTATTGGGAGTGCCACCATTCCACTTCTTTGCTCTGGGTGTTGAACGAACCCGTTACTGCAGTTGCTCATAGGAATCAATGTATTTTTTCTTTTCATTCCCTTCCCTGGCAGCAGACTTTGATTGGTTACTGTGAATAACACAGACAGGTCCTCTTTCAGACTCTTTGATTTATGAGGTCCGTTGTGTGGTAACCAAGCATTGTCTTTGCCATTCTCCCTTCCGGCATCTTGAGCTATTGGATTTTATCTTGCATACCACAGCCTGGTGTTTGTAATGCATTGCTAATTAGCACAAGCGTGTTATTAATTAATGTGCTCCGCACAAGCAACTATTGACTGTCTGGTTTGTTGTGCAGCCCACCTGTACAAGTGCTCGGCCCTGCGGGAGAGCTGCGGACTGTGTCTAAAATCCGATCCACACTTTGAGTGCGGCTGGTGTGTCAGCGAGAAGAAGTGCACCCTGCGCCAGAACTGCCCCACGTATGAGAGCCCATGGATGCACGTCAGCACACCGCAGAGCCGGTGCACCGACCCGAAGATCACCAAGGTGAGGGACATGTGATGGAGGAGGATATTGGAGCATGATGTGTTTATTTTCATGTACTTGTTACAAAGTATTTTATAGCGCCATCAATGTACACAACACTTTATATACTCTACATTTACATCAGTACCTGACCTCAAGGAGCATATCATTTAAGGACCCTATCTCACATACATGCATTCACATACTAGGCCCAATTTACACAGGAATTTTAAGGAGACCAAGAGGGCCCCCTTACAAAGGGGCTATATAATCACAATTGGGAACGCTCATTTCCTCTATGCGAAATGTGAATGGGGCCTCAGGAATTTAACTGTTACTAAACCCAGGGCCCTGCATTCACTATATCTGGTCTCTCCGGACCCTGCATTCACTATATCTGGTCTCCCCGAACCCTGCATTCACTATATCTGCTCTCCCCGGACCCTGCATTCACTATATCTGGTCTCCCCGGACCCTGCATTCACTATATCTGGTCTCCCTGGACCCTGCATTCACTATATCTGGTCTCCCTGGACCCTGCATTCACTATATCTGGTCTCCCCGGACCCCGCATTCACTATATCTGGTCTCCCCGGACCCTGCATTCACTATATCTGGTCTCCCCGGACCCTGCATTCACTATATCTGGTCTCCCCGGACCCTGCATTCACTATATCTGGTCTCCCCGGACCCTGCATTCACTATATCTGGTCTCCTCGGACGCTGCATTCACTATATATGGTCTCCTCGGACCCTGCATTCACTATATCCGGTCTCTTCGGACCCTGCATTCACTATATCCGGTCTCCTCGGACCCTGCATTCACTATATCCGGTCTCTTCGGACCCTGCATTCACTATATCCGATCTCCCCGGACCCTGCATTCACGATATCCGGTCTCCCCGGACCCTGCATTCACGATATCCGGTCTCCCCGGACCCTGCATTCACTTTATCTGGTCTCACCGGACCCTGCATTCACTTTATCTGGTCTCACCGGACCCTGCATTCACTTTATCTGGTCTCACCGGACCCTGCATTCACTTTATCTGGTCTCCCGGACCCTGCATTCACTTTATCTGGTCTATCCGGACCCTGCATTCATTATATCTGGTCTCCCCGGACCCTACATTCACTATATCTGGTCTCCCCGGACCCTGCATTCACTATATCTGGTCTATCCGGGCCCTGCATTCACTATATCTGGTCTTTCTGGACCCTGCATTCATTATATCTGGTCTTCCACAGTACACAGAACATAGAAATGCAATTATTTTAGTAAATATAAACTGCTAAATACTTTTTCTCATCAGCAGTTTGAGCAATCTTGTGACTTCTATCAGTGTCCAGCAGAGCACTGGTTAAAGCTTGTAGGAGGAGTTTTCATTCTCCCTTATGAGGCTGCAGGACCCCTGACCTTCGGTTTGGATAGTGCTGAATAGCCCTGTGCTGATCACATGCACTCTCCCAAGAAAAAAAAAAAAACTCTCCAACAATACACACCAAACTGAGCATGTGCAACTTGCCTCCAAGCCTCTGTTGTATCAGGAGTTATATTGGGGACATTAGAAGAAGGGGGAGGATCAGAGAACATCCTTTTTACACAATGCAGAGGATTGACCCATTAGGCTCCACAGTGAGTATAACAAGCACGCTTTACTGCATATACAGACTGATTTCACTGTTGTGTTTTTAGTAACACTTTAAATGGTTTCCAGATAGCATGTAATCCTCTACCCTGAAGGACTTGCCACCTTAAAATGCAGGTCTCCCCTGCAATGTTTAATAATTGCAATATAGTATCAAAGTATATGTATAAAACACTTTTTTTTTTTTTAAGGATCCAGAGTGCATCATTATTCTCTCATATTTGCCCGGCTCTCCCACAGTGCCTGTTACGGACTCCCATTTCGTAGCTGCAACTGTTCAGGGACAGCAAAGTGACTGATGCATGTTATTTGATGTCGGTTATCTTTTGCTGAATTACACTTTTCTGTTTGTCCGCAGTCAGCAGGTCACGCTAAAACGAATTCCCTACGTGTATATAAAGGGGGATAAAAATGGCCCCAGCGTTGCTCATATTTACACTGGGCCAGCTGCTGGTCGATAAAAACATGTATTTGAAGCACATCATACGTTGGTGTACCCGCGTCAGTAACACTTTTCTTTGACCTGAGTGTCGGGATTAAATATGAATTGGATAATCACACCAAACAGATTATCTCTTGGGATTTTATGTATTATTCAAAAAGAGCAAGAGAGGTAAAACAATGTATCCAACTAAAAAAAAGGAAGAAAGGACCGTGCTCTGATGACGTCACTGTGCCTAAAACTAATTCAAGTGAAAGAGAAGCCCTAAGCTGGCTCTACACTAGTAGATTTTCCAACAAATGTTTGTACCAATATTTAGACAAAAATTCTCAGTACATTTGATGACTTTTTGAATGTCGTACAAAAGTACTAAAAAATTTAGTTGATTTAGGAATGAGTGGAATTTCCTGAACAAAAATTCCATTCACTGTTAGAAATTCATTCGTTCGACAAAATTTTTCCATCCTGCTCATTCAAATTTTTTTTGCCACCGCTATTAAAAATGAACTTAGAAAATGAGCGAATGTACTCAAAATGAAAAAAAAAAGAACAAAATTCTACTAATGCATAGCCAGCTTAACATGAACATTTATGTTCCTTGCCCCCTCCTCCTACCTATGCTGCCTAACCTGTATAGAAAAGATCGGTGTACTTACCCTTTTTTTTTTTTTTTTTTTTTTAAGGGTGTACTTACCTATTTTTAATCTGTTCCAGTAACATGATCCTGCAGCTCCAGCTCTCCTGTGTCATTGAGCAGCTGTTGGAAGGAAGAGGATATTTATTTATGCCTGGGCCATGGGAGCCTATAGGTGACCTCACAGCTTTGGGAATTCCACAGCCGTTGTCTATCGCTCTCTTATACAGGGGACTGGGAGCTCCAGGATCATGTGACCAGACTGGAGCGGATTGAAAAAAGGTAAGTATACAGATCCTTTATATACAGAGTATGCAAGATAGGTAGGGGCAGGAGGAATGGAACATTTTTGAGAATAGTTAAAGAAGAACTTTGCGATAGGCAAAAAAAAAAACACTCATTAGTGCACCCCCCTACTCAAAACACTAAACAGTTAGTAAAATTTTGAAAGTCGTTAACATTGAGGAGAAAAGTCTAATTGAATTTTCATGCCCTCATCTCTGTTATTCTAAAGATAACATCTGCTCTGCTAAGGAGAAGGTAACAGCAGGGACTACATCATATCCTCCCTTCTCTCGCTGCAGTAAAAGGAAACGACAGTTCCCATCAAGCACAGGGAATTGTAGTGAATGTGGGCGGGTACACTAGGCCTATAAGTGTTGAATGTGTCTGAGAGTCTCAGTCCGCCCAACCACTACAAGTGGGGCTGAATGACATCACTGCTTCCTGGAGAAAGAACTACAGAAGGGATGTGCCAAGACCAGTGGCTGGGGGTATAGGAGACCATAGCAGCCATTGGTCGTACACACAGGAAACAAAAGAGAATTAACAGTTTGATTAAAAAATGAATAGGCTATTTCAGAACAACTACTGAGTGAACTAGAAAATGGATGACACATTCAGTGAAGGTAGGAAATTAGCAACAAGGACATGTAAAGAGGTTTTTGCCCGGAGTTCTGCTTTAAGTGTTAGGTTTTACTATGACTTTAAGGAAGCAAATTTGATTGCACCCCTGCAGTTGCAGTACCCATAATCGCATTGGTGACACTCATCTTGAGCTCTTCCCCTCCTAGGCACCTCCCCTTCCTACATCTCCGCTTATAGAGCAGGCATTCCCACCCTAACTGTGATTTCAGCTTTCATCTGGTTTGTGAGCATTGAAGATAAACAGATTCCCTGGCACCAATATGATAGCATACAGTGGTAGTTTGCTGCCGTGGATTGGCACCAGGAAAGGAACATTTTGGTAAATAGCTGATACAATTTTCAGTTTTCCTTGCACCAACATGGCAGCATACTACCATATGTTTGCTGTGATGGATTTGCACCAGTAAAGAAAAATTACGGTAAGTAATACAATTTTCCATCTTTCTGGCACCGACATAGCAGCATACTACCACTTTGCTGCCATGGATTGGCACCAGGAAAGGAAAATATTGGTAAATATTTGATACAATTTTCAGTTTTCCTTGCGCCAATATGGCAGCATACCGCCATATGTTTGTTACCAAGGATTGGCACCAGTAAAAAATAATTACGGTTAGAAATACAATTTTCCATTTTTCTGGCACTGACATAGCAACTTACTACCGCATGTTTGCTGCCATGAATTGGTGCCAGTAAAGTAAAGTGTGGTAAGTATTTAACCCTCTTGGCGGTATTCCCGAGTGTAGCTCGGGGTAAAGTTTCAGCACCACAAGCGGCGACCCCGAGCTACACTCGGGAATACACTGCAGCATTGCTCTGGGATCTGTTCTTCACTTACCTTGTCCTGCGCTCCCGCGATGTCCCCCCTGCAGTATCCCCGGCAATGTCCTCCGGCCGATGCCGGCATCCGTCTTCTGGGTTCCAATCCCTGTGAGCGTCGGGACGTACGGGGAACAGAACTGGCGGGAAATTTAAAAATGTGAAAAAGTGACATTCACTAAATTCACTAAAATCACATAGTATAACATTCCTGTATCAAACCATTTCACATACATTTGTCCCGAGTGCTTTGTCTGGCGCCCTGCCTGCATTTTTACTGTTCTTTCTGCCTGGAAACTGAGAAACGTCCATGGCGTCCAAAAAGCGTCCCTTTAGGTCAAAAGCGGTTTTAGACCGGCTAGAGAACAGCGATAGTAAATCAGAACCACTTGCAGAATTGAGTGATAATGATTCGTGGGGGAAATTCCTCATCAGACACTGAAAACGATTCTGCGACTTTGCTCAGCGATGTGCGAACTTGGCGCTATATTTCACATTTCAGTGTTTTTTGGTTTGATTATATTATTGAATTAAATTTATTATTAGATTAT